ATATATATATATATATATATATATATATATATATATATATATATATCTCATATACACAAAAGGAAAAATAAGAGAATCAAAATGTATCACTATAAAAAATCAACAAAACATTAAAAGACAATAAAAGAAGAGGCCCTTATTGTGAGGCTGTTGACTTATATAGGCTTTCAGAGAGATGCTGCTAGGCAGTTGATGGCTCTTGTAATTCAACTTGATTTCTAAATAGAAGCTGGATTCATCTGACAGAGAAGAAACTAGAACCAGACATGAGTCTCACATTCCCAGTGTGAACTTCTTTGGTGCTGTCAATCCTAGATACACAGTTGATGAAGACGATATTTTTCTTTTGTGATTATAAGCTTTGTGAAAACAGGATACCATCCTTATCCCTAATATCTGGCCCAGAATAGATACTCAAAAAAAATATTTTGAGAGATTCAAGATGGCAGATGAGAGGAAAGCTGCATTTTCATTTGCTCCATGGTTTAGGTTTAAAGCAGCAAGAGTACTGCTCTCAGCAAGGTGGATGAAAAAGGGAATTCATTGAAATTCAATATCAGACAGAGTCTCAGACACTCATAAAGTCAGGTGCATGAATGAAAAACTGCATTGGAGCTAAGTCAGTTGCAGCAGTAGTTGTGATGCTGGTAAACCACAAAGGCAGGGTATAAAACAGAGAAACACAATGAACAAGTTCGGCATAGAAAAACTTGAAAACCAGAAAAGCAACCTGAACTTATCTGATCCAGAGGCTGCACAGCAAACTGGTGTTTGAAAGTGCTGTGTTTCTCACCTGGCAAGTGGAGACCTGAGTCAGGAGCCATCTTGCGGAGGCCATGCTGCAGCTTTCTGATGCAGGAGCCCAGGAGATCATAGCAACCATTGCCATACTGTCCTGGCAAGCACTATCATGGCCTAGTGTGTACCTAGTAGAACTTGAGTGAAACAGGCACAGAGACTGTACCCAGGGAATTGAAGTCAGAAAAATAGAGGGGAGTGCAATGCACTTTCCCTTTGAGTCTGTCTGCCATGTAACCAACTGCAGGGTGTTGGAAAACTGAACAGGTGAGAGTGAATATACTCAGGGACTAAGCCCAGGAAGAACATATTCCTTGGCAGCAACATGTGGGGACATGTGATTCCCCTGCCCTGTGAGTAGAATTCTTGGGAAGCTCCTGAAAGCCAGACTGCCAGCACAGATTGGCATCTGTCTGGCCCTAGTGGTGTGTTGATCTAATCCCTTCGGAGCAAATATACCCACAAAGCCTCTTAGGCCTGATTAGACCTAAGCTGGAACTACCAGAACTCCCCTTATAGAACCCTGCAGCAGCCTCACTCTGGGAGTGCATTAATCTGGTCTGTCAGTGTTATCATTAGGGTATCTAATTGGGGTTCAGGTCCTTGTTGTCCCAAACAAAGAATTGAGCAAGAAACACAGAATTAATAGGAAAAGTACAGATATATTAGAGGCAAGGTGAGAGAAGCACTCCATAAGGTAGAGAGGAGTGGGCCAAGTGAAAAAGAAGCCCAATGTCCCAGTGTCTAGAAATTAGTGTCTTATATGCCAAGCTCTGAGGCATTCTTTTTCCTATATGGGCTGAATTGAAGATCTTACTCATTTGCTTCCATTGGGTACCTTATAATACCTGATTAGAATATTGTCCAATTTTCCCCCATTGGTTACTTTAGAAAATCTAATTAAAATACTGCCCACTTTACCCACATTGGTCACTTTGAAATATCAGACCTGTAGTGGGAGTCATCATGATGATAACTTCTCAATGGTGGGAGTTGTTGTGGTAATGAGACTCACCGTAAGAGAGACGTGATGATTCGTCTCCCTATATTGTCCTTTGGTGGTATATTTTTCTTACATCCTGCCTCCACCACCTTGGCATCCCTGAATTTGTATTTAACATTTGGACAAAATTCAATTAATGGCATTTCCCATTCTATCCTAGTGAGAAGGGAAGCTGAGAGCTATTTCAAGCAGCTTTAGTTATAGGCCACTCCATCTGGCAGCTCAGTGAGCAGAAAGAGTGCTTGCCCTTGCTAAGCATCTTTCATCTTTTCCCCCTTTTTGGTTCTTGTTTTTATCTTTTTTCTCCTTTTTAACATTTTTTATAATAGTTTTTTTCCTTGTCTTTTGAGGATTAGGGTTTTAAGTTTGTTTATTTTGATCTGGTTTGGTTTAGTTTGGTTGTTTCCATTTCTCCCCTCCCACTAACAGCCAAATCTCTTGTTCCGTTCTCTCTCCCTTTACTTTGTTTTTTCTACTTTTTCTCATTTTTCCTACTTTTTCTTCCACCTGCTATATCTCTTCTGCATTTCTCTGTTCACATTTTGAACATTCTAAACTTTCTTCTACTTTCCTATCACATTTTCTTTTCTCTTTATTCACTATATCTTACCATATTTTAGAGGTGTTTGGCTTATATTACTTTTGACCCCAACATTCATGTTGTTGCAATTATTAGTACTGTGGATGACAGAGTTGTCATCTAGTTAATGCCAGATCTAGTTCATGGTTATCGTTTTGGATTGCTAATCCCATCATTCATGTTTTTGCAATAATTAGTGTTGTAGATATCATAGGAGGCACTGGGTATTTATTTTAATACTGTATATTGTTTCAATTGTTGCTACTGTTTGTTTCCCCCTTTTCTGTAAGGTACTGGGAGTCTACAAGCACACTGCAAGTTCACAGGGTAGAGACTCTGCTGCTTAACTAATCCTAGCCAAAAGACAGTGCACCTTGCTCCACACATAAATTAGCCTCATTCAAACTTCAACTATTCTTTAATACAATGAATAAATAGAGACAAA